TGGCATGGTTACACCTGTGTCTTTGTATCTGCATCCTGGAGATGGTTCTCCTGCGGTGTGAATGCATGTCTGTTCCAACGTACCAAAAAAAAGAAAAGGATTGAATTAGAAAATAAGACTTGAAAGATTCTTACAGTGTTACATTGCATGAACACAAAAGCAGCAACACTTCTTTTTTACTGTTTAAAACTCTCAATCAGGGCAATACTGTCCCTGACACAGTCCAGTCTACGTTTACAGCCTCTTCCCTGCTGAAAATAGCGGTTTAACACAAACATGGGTCGACCCGCTAACTATCGGCATTTAGCTCCCTTCCCACTGGCCTAAAAAGCTGGTCTAACCCCTTGCTGGCAGCTGTGTGTCTGGTGACATCATCACGCTGGGTTGGCATTGATGATGTCACGAGTACAACAGAAATCAGGGATGTAAACAATGGAGAGCAACATGGAAGGCAGCCAGGGCGTAGTCAGTGTGCTTTATTGTTTCTCTCTATTATCCGTCTGACTCCGTCTAACCAGAGCTGCTCCATGTTTATCCAATGGAAACAGAGTTGATTCTGCTTGTTAGATCAGAAGCTACTGGTTCGGTGTGCTGACGTCTGTATCGCCGAAGCGATTTTAATGCGGGTTGCTGTGCGAGTCGTTTGACCCGGGTAGACATGCGTCAGTGAGCTGTTCCCACTGCCACTAAAAGCGCATCGTTCCGGGGTTACACTGGTATTTCAGTCAGTGGGAAAGAGGTATAGCCAGGTCTGGGAATCTCAGAGTGAAATCAAACTGGTCCAACTAGACTAGTGACTTTTCTTGCTTTAAAATTCCCCGCACTAGAACAGCATTGTAAATGCCAACCCTACCCCTCTATACCCCAAATGTTTCCTGCTAAACCATGAAACTTCTGAGTAGTTGAATGCCAACACCAGAGAGGCATGCAGAACAGGAAGAAAAGAGCCTCCAGATCTGTAAATAAAGATAACCTCTGTTCTGCAGAGGGAACTAAGACGGAAGGTCAAGGACAGGTAAAAAAAATCTAAAGGAAGACGATAAGAGAGTTGAGATAAATCTTAATAGTAATTGCACCAATATTAAATGTTCAGTAGTAGACAAACTGGTCTACTGACCTAATAAATGATGATAGAGAAATGCTTTTTATAAAAATAGGTATATTAAAATGC